GTCCCTCGGCTTCCTCGGGGCCCATGTCCTCCCTCCCTCTGTCCTCCTTCTCTCCCCTACACCCTTCTTAGAAATGAAGTCATCTAGAAAAATAATCAAAAAATAGAAAGGAAAAAAAAAAGCTAAGAAAATGGGATTTTTTTTTTTCCCTTTCAAACATTTGGTAAGACACCTCCCACACGGATGAGTGTCCACCGGGGGCCTGTTTTTGTCCGAGGGAGACTCAGGCCTGCACCTCTCCGGGTGGCGCCAGCCGGATGGGCTCTCCACTCCCGTCTTGGGGTCTGCACGGGGCCTCCCGGGAAGCCTGGCCAAAGTCAGCTCCCAGGAGCCACAGACCCCCGGCCATGCTCCCCACAGAAGCCCCCCGAGGATGCGGCGGCCGGGTGGGGGAGGGGCGGCGGGTTCCCGCTCTGGGGGGCGCCAGCCCCTCGTGGGGACCTCGGCCCCCAGCCTCTCCCCTCTGCCCACCGGCCCTGCTGAAGCTCCCGTTTGTTTATTTATAATTTACACTCAGCCAGTTTCCAAGAAAGCTCCGAGGCACTTGCTGAAAAGCTGCTTCCGCAAGCTGGGCTGTGCTCCCATCAGCCTTGGGCTCCGAGCCCATGGACACTTTCCCCGTGGCTCACAAGTTCCAACGTCTCAGCCTGGCGTCCGGGGTGCACCGGGTCCGGCCCCCGAGACAGGCCCTCGCTTCCTGGGGCAGCTCACTGCCTTCTCCCGCTTTGGGGGCCACAACGCTTCCTCCAGGACGCCCTCTTGAGCCCCGGTGGGAGGGGACCTGGGGATGGCCGCACCCCTCTTCTGCCCCTCGGCCACAGTCCTGTGCCTATCTGTCCCGGGGCCACAGTTACCCAGTACGGGCGGGCGCTCCACCTGGACCTCGCCCAGCCCTGGAAGGGACCAGAATGCTGCGGGGGGAGGAGGGGGGGTCCTGGGTCTTGACCGGTATCCAGGCCGGGTCTCCTGCACCGGTTTCCAGGGGTCAACATGCAGGGAGGGAAGGGCCTGCAGGAAGGGAGCTCCGGCAGGGGCAGAGGCTGCAGGCGAGAGCGGGGGTGGCCCTCACGATTTGGTCCAAACCCTGGGTGAAAAAAAGTGCCACTCTGTCGACCAGCACAGCGGGGACACAGGTGGCTGCAGTCCCTCCTCAGCCCCACTGGGGCCTCAAAGCTTCTTGCCTCGGGCAGGGGGGTCGTCCCTGATCCCGGGCGCCCCCTTCCCTCAGCCCTGCTTCGTCAGGCTTATTTTCCATCCGCGGCAGAGGGGAGTCGGTCTCCGACTCAGATCTGCACCAGCCAGGGCCAGAGAACCGGCTTAAGCAGGAGAACGTGAACGTGACACCTCGCTTCTGCACCCCCCAATCCCTCCTCAGTAAGAGGGGGTGAGTGATGCCGAGGCCAGCCCTGTGCCCAGGATAAGATCGACGCAGATGCGATCAAGGCCACAGGGCAACACACTGCACGCCCCTCGCGGGGCCTCAGTTTTCCCACCTGTAAAATGAAGCAGCCTCAGCCTTCTCCCTCTGCCCAAGTCTGTAGATCCGATTTCTACGGAGCAAGCTGGATGGCCCTGCCAGCCAGGAGGGCACATGGTGGGCCAGGGGCTGGGGCCGCCCTCCGCCCCCTACCGTCCTCAGGCGCGAGATCCCGCTGGCCGCGACACCACCAGTTCTGGCCAATGCCCCTCCCCCTCCCTCCCTCCTTCCCTCCGTCCCTCAGCCTGAGCAGACATCACCTGGCAGGGGGAGCCCGGGCATGACAGGCCCCCGGGGGGGGGGG